TCCTAAATACATAAGTACAACCTGCTCAGTCTGTTTTCAGGGCTCACCATTTGGTACCGGATGTGCTCTTCCCTGGGGAAGATGATTTCTCCCACTCCCAGCATTCTTTAGTTGCCTGTAGTTCTTTGTCTATGGTTAATGCCTCTTGGGCTTTCCCTGTCTACTTTGGCATGTCTATTTTTGTTGTCCTTTTTCAGCTCATGGTGAGACAGTCATGTTGGTAAGACTTTATGGGTGTAGCTTCTGGCATTCCTAGGAGACACAGTCTCACAGCAAACCCCTTGATCCTCTGGTTCCAACAATCTTTCCTCCCCCTCTACCACAGTGATCTCTGAACTTTAGGTGCAGGTGTGTTTTGTAGATGTATCTATTGTGTCTGGGCTCCATAACTCTGCATTTTGATTGGTTGTGATTTTCTGTAACAATCTCCATCTGTTACAAAGAGATTTTCTTGATAAGGGTAAGGACTATACTTGTCTGTGGGTATAAGGACAAATATTTGGAATATAGCTAGGGATCCTATTTGTCTAGTGAAGTTGTCAGTTGGAGATTCTCCCCCAAGATGTATGACTACATTAGCCCTGGGTAGTTGGCTAGGTTTCCAGTAACCAAGCATGATTTCTGTATTGTTGAGTGAGTCTTGAGTTCAATTATGCCAAGGTATGCATGCAATACTGCATCCTTAGGATTATCCTGCCCTGATGGTCATTATTGTGGTTTATAGGCATCATATTAAATAGGACTTGTTTCCTCCTTTGGAACCTTGCCAAGTACCTGCTGGTGCCATGAAATGGATCCTCTGGACGGTATGTCTGAAGTACATGGTATCTTCAGCATTGGGGACTCACCTACTTTCAGGTGTAAACAAGGACGACAGTGATAGAATGTAATACTTTTGGAGTCTCTTGGACAACCCTGGTCAAGAACTAAAAGAAGAGCTTCTCACTCTTTTGTTGAGGTTCTTGTTAGATGATCTTTGGCTCTTGAAGGGAGCATAGTCAGCCCAGATGGTAAATTTTCATTTAACCTGCATACGTATGTTTATATACCAACTTGGGTATATTATAGGCATTTTTAGGCAGATAGTTAATAGTATGGTCCCTTATGATTTTTTCAGACATCCTTAATATTATTTTGCCCTCTTATTCCTTATTCTATATTTATCTCCCTCCCCCTTTTTAGTTAGAGCCCCCCATTTTCCCATTTCCCCCATCAGATCACTTATACCCTGATATTCCCCTCTCTGTCGACCCCCACTCCCAACCCCAGCAATGGCCACTCTTTACTTTCTCCTGATTTCTGGAGTTACTCCAGAATATGTACTTAACATCTGAAGATTTATAGCTAGGACCCTCAGATGAGAGAGAATATGTGACCTTTGTCTTTCCGAGTCTGGGTTACCTCACTTGATATGATATTTTCTAGTTCTATTAATTAACCTGCAAAGTTTATGATTTTATTTTTCTTTACTACAAATGGCTAGTATTCCATAGTGTGTATGTACCACACTTTTATTATCCAATCATCAGTTTGTAGTTGGGTTTTTTTTTAACTCTTTGGGGGCCTACCACCCAGCAAAGAAATGTTCATCATCCTTAGCCATCAGGAAATGCAAATCAAATGTACTCTGAGATTCTATCTTACACTTGTCAGAATGGATAAGATTAAAAACACAAGAGTCAGCTCATGCTGGAAAGGATGTTGTAGAGCAAGAGGAACACTCCTCCATTGCTTGCGTGAGTGAAAACTTCTATAGCCACTTTGAAAAGCAATATGGTGGTTTCTCAGAAAATTGGGAATCATTCTACCTCAAGACCCAGCTGTACCACTCCTGAGCATATATTCAAAGAATTCTCAATCATACCACAAGGACACTTGCTCAACTATGTTCATAGCAGCTTTATTTGTAATAGCCAGAACCTGGAAACAACCTAGATGTCCATCAATTGAAGAAAGGATAAAGAAAATGTGGTACATTAACACAATGGAGTATTTACTCGGTTGTTAAAAACAATGACATCAGGAAATTTGAAGGCAAATGGATGGAACTTGAAAAAAAAAATCATCCTGAATGAGGTAACCCAGACTCAGAAAGACAAACATAGCATATACTCACTCGTAAGTGGATACATACTGTAAAGTAAGGGATAACCATGCTGCAACCTACAGCCCCAGAAAGGCTAGGTAATGACGAGGGCCCAAGGCATGAATCTCCCAGGGAAGAGGAAATAGAGAAGATGTCCTGGTTGGACTGGGGGCAGGTGGGCAAGAGAACTTGAAGGATCAGGTTGGGGGGTGAAAGGGGAGAGATCTGAGAAAGATAAATGGAAAGGAGGGCTTTTCAGGGTCAGGTAGAAGCCGGATGCAAGGGAAACTCCCAGGAGTCTACAAAGATAGCCCCAGCTAAGACTCCTGGCAGCAGTGGATGCATATCCTGGACTGGCCATCCCCTGTGATCAGATTGGTGACTACCCTGGTTGTCAGCTGAGAGCCTGCATCCAGGGACTAATGGAGGCAGATTCAGAGACCCACAGCCAAACGCTGGGCCTAGCTTGGGGAGTCCTGCTGAGGAGAGGGAGGACAGATTGTAGGAGCCAGGGGGGTCAGAGACATTGCAGGAAAGCTCACAGAAATAGCTAGCCTGGCTCATGGGAACTCACAGTCTGAACCAGCAACCAGGGAGGCTCCATGGGACGGACCTATGTCCTCTGCATATATGTGACAGTTGTATAGCTTGGTCTATTTGTGGGACTCCTGGCAATGGAATCAGGGCTGTCCTTGGTGCTTTGGCTGGCTCTTGGGAACCTATTCCTCATGCTGGATTGCCTTGCCCAGCCTGAATACAGGGGGAGGTACTTGGTCTTATGGCAGCTTGATATGCCATGCTTTGCTAATGTCCATGGGAGACCTGCCCCTTTCTGAGCAAATACAGATAAGGGTGGATTGAGGGGGCACAGAAGGGAGGTGGGAGGAAGGAATGGGAGGGAAGAGGGAGAGGAAGCTGTGGTTGGGATGTAAAATAAATCAATTAATAAAATTTTTCAGAAAAAAAGGAAGTTGTCCTACAAGAAAAATGTATGCCTCTAACTGCCTATCTTTAAAAAATCATCAAGAGAACAAATAAGTGATGTAATGATGCAACTCAAATATTTGGAAAAACAAGAATAAGTCAAAT